AAATCTGTGACAAAACTGGCCAATTCTGTCAAGTCAGAACTAGCCGATTTTGGTCCGAACCGCTTTGAATGAGGAAAATTGGGTAAGTTCCTTTTTTAAAATTTGTCCTTTGTAACTGCACTTTTGAATTTATTTTTAAAAACAAGGGGCAGCAGCCCATGCCATATTTTATGTCTCAAAAAGTACTATCACCTTCATGAGGGCCCCACGAACCAATCGTACGCCACATGCACTAAATAGTGGGCACACGCCCAACAACTCACGTGTATTGTGCGAGGCTTTTATAGATGTTTTTGCTTCATTCAATGTTCCATGTGGGACAAATTATTCTCATTTCTTCACCACCGCACAAAACGAACTTTGGGGCCAAAATTTTCTTACAAAAACTTGGGGTCTCTATTTACTTACAACCTTTTGTCTCTCTCTATCCCCTCTTGGTCTCTCTCTCTCTCTACAAACAATCAATTCCACTAAAATTATCTCTCTCTACTAACAACCCCTTCCACTAAATTTGTTCCATATAGCTTCTTTCAAAAATCGTAACTCCTAAGTTTATACAAAAATAAAAAAATAAATTGACTTAGAGAGATGTGTTTTATTATCATGTTGCATTTTAAACTTTGTTTTGATTATGGAATAAATGTAGTGGACGACAAAAACTCAACATGAGACAGGTTTTCAGTATTTACATATTTTTGACATAATATCAAAAAACCATAATGCAATTGTCACTATTTCTTTTAGAAACCTAAAAAACTAGATTTTTTATAGTGATTTTTTGAAATTTTTTGAGGTTGAGACCGGCCGATCCGGCTGATTGTCTGATCCGGATTGTCGATCCACAGATCTGACACGGTTTTTGGAGTGGCTGATCCGGGTCATCCATCCTTTTTTTAAACCTTGTATTAAACAAACCACCAACCTGCACACACACACCCCCCTCCCCAACCCCAAGGCGCCGCCCCATCTGCCTGTAACATGGCGCCTGCCTAGACAGCCAGGCGGCTGACATTTTCAACATTGATTGAGTGAGAAAAAGACAAAAGCAGAAAAGAAGAGAAAAAAGTGTTAGCGAATGAGAAAGGTGTGAGCATTCCACATCAACAATACATATTGCGAGGGTTGCGAAAGTGAGTTGGAAGATGAAAGAGAAAAAAGCGCCAAGAGAGAAAAGATAGGATGCTTGTTTTTCTTTTTCGGGGGGGGGGGGGGGGATTGGGGGAAGAGTGGGGCAGGATAGATTGTAAGCATAATTTGATAAGAAATTAGAAAAGAGAAGGAAAGGAAGAAGATCGAGAAAAGGAGGAAGAGGGAGGGGAAAAACAAAGAAAGGAGCACAAGGAGGTTGCGAAAGGAGATGCCCACGACAAAAAACTGAAAAAAGAAAGCAGAAAAGAGATGAACATGAGCTGTCTTGAGCGCTGATTGCCTCAGGACTCCTTTATCTGCCGCTGTATTGGCCTCCCTCCAAGTATGTCGAAAGGCGACTGCCTACATATATGGAAAATGTGATAAAAAAAGTGTGGGATGATCTCCATGCTTATTAGCCATTTCGGGTGGTCCGTAGAATGATGTTCTTGGAGCTCCCCTTACTCAATGAAATTTTCTGCCCAACTTGGGTTGAACCTTTGAAGACCTTTATGAGTGCATATGCTGCCGCCCAAGTTGAGTCAACAATTCTGAGGAAGCCGTGGATGGAGGATATCGTGTGCTTTTTTTGGAGTCTTTGGGACCCAAAAGAGCTAGGATTGCCTAGAGAACAACCATTCACATTAAGCTTGATGGCTGCGTGACTTGGATGGATCCACGAGGTGGACCTTCATAGCTTGGAGGGTTTACGCTTGATGATGTCAGACAAAATCGAAATAGAGTCAGACTTGGAAAAATTCTTTAGATCTTTGAAGTTAGTTGCCCAAAAGATGGTGAGTTTTTGCCATGCTCTGCCAAGGCCAATGTTGTTTTTTTATTTACTCTAAAACTTATTGAGTTCCACTTCTTCAAAATGGTCCACAATGGTCCACAAAAAAGTGGGACTGAAGCTCTCCATAGGAAGAGACCTGCCTTGGGCTACGGAGGGCATAAAAAGCAAGAGAAGAGTTATTTGAGAGATATGGATGTGACCTATGGATATGAGTAACTGTGTCGTTGTAGGATAGAGGTTCGGGAAGTATTGCTTCGAAACTCAAATGAGGTTTGTGTTAGGTAGGGCAGCCAACATAAACCAAATCTTGTCATGAGTCTTGAACCTTTGAGCAAAATAGCGAAAACATGATTCATGTGGCCGACCCCAAATAGTTGAGGTAAGGCTGAGAAGATGATCATGTACTTGACATTCTAGAGTATAAGCCCCCTATTTCTTCTACCATACTTTCCTAGCCTCTCTTGAATCTCCAGTATTATTTTCCCAAAGGGGCATGTTAACCCACGTTAGCGGCTCAGCCTTTATATATCCCTTGCCTCGTAGACTGCCAATCTTATCTATGCCTCTTGCCGTTTTACCAAATAGATATGTGATCCATGTGCACCACTCTAGAGGGTTTCACACATAGTTGTTGGGATCAGAAGCGGGATCGGTTCGGGATTCACTGAACCATCCTATAGTGGAAGCTCCCTGGGGTTAAGATCGGCGTCTATACAATGAACAAGACAAGGAGCGAGATCCTTAAGTTTATGGGAGCGAGATCCGATGTCAATGGATTCGATGTTTGACTAGCAGGAATCTAAGCTTCACTATACAAAAAAATAAGATTGTAAGTAAAGCTAGTACGAGTTCCCTTGGTTAAGGTATCGAGATTTAAGTATGTCATATAACGATGTTCCTCCTGTTCTAATATCAAGATTCTTAAAATATAGGAATCAAGGTCCTCAACTAATTGGCTCTGAGGTCCACAAGTGCCATTTACCATGGATCCCTTATCAAGTGCCCCCTGCCCTCAACAATGGATTTATATATTTTTGCGTGAATAACAACAAATTAATTTTGTAGCTCTATAAGTCGGTCTTTCTTATGACCATTACATCTTCAGACCATGACACAAGTTTGGTATGCACCATTCCCTCTGAGTCTTTGGCAACCCAAAATCATACCACTTAAGGGTCATCTTCTTCGAATGTAGTTTCTTATGCTTCCATTGTTTCTTAAAGGTTGGCTCTCTGAAGGTAAAGAGGACAAGATGAACTACTCTCTCTCTCTCTGACTGATGTAAAACAAGCACTTTTTAAAGCTGGAAATGAACTAGATATTCTCACAATAAGACATCATAAATATAATATTTTAAATATAACTAAGAGGGATGGCTTACACAATAGAACTTAATAAAACAGTGGGTCATTCTAGACTATGCCTAGTTCAAATTAAGAATCTGAAATAATGGACCTTCGTGCTATGCAAAAAAGGGACTAGATTTTAATATCATGGAACTTATGATTACTAAATAATGGGAACTTCAAACAACATGGTATAATCCGTTAAAGTAGAACCCACAAACATGGAACCCAAGATTTTAATGAATCAAAGCCTTGGACCATAGTTGATGGGAGCGGGGATCTATTTCGAAATGGAACTGGATTCCACTGATGGATAGAATGTGGTCCCCTTTTTTTGGGAGCGTGATCCCAAAATCGAAAAAACGGGGTCCCTACAAGATCCCTTGTAAGAACCGTGGGATCGAGGTTCCGAAGCAGGATCGTCACCCTACCCACATGGTTCCCTTAACTATGGTTTCACACTATGACCTCTGGCTTATCCTCCACTATACGGGCATCTCAGAAAAAATAACGTAGTGAATGAGTTTACTAGATAAAGGCCAATATGATCAATGAAAAATTGGCCTTTGTCAAAATTAATGTGTATTTGAGTCGCTAGACTACGACCTTAGAGCAATAATGTGCATCAACTTTTAGAATCCATGGATACTTCTTGGGTTCTTTACCTGAATGCTAAAGTCTCAGATTAAACCATGATATCGGATTCAGATTAGAGGTGTGAGATCTAGCTGCAAAGCCCTCGATGCATACATGTGAATTGGATCACCATATCCTGCCAATCAAAATCCTCCTGTGCTGTCAAAATGAAGGTTTAATGAGGACAATATATTGAGGTCCCACATCTACATCAGTAAATATACCTAATAACGTATTATACATCATCAAGTGAAATTTTTTATGTGATTCCCCAAATTGAAATGGTATTTGAAGACCCATGCAAAATATTACATCTGTTACATGCAAAATTCTGACTAAACACTCCATATATGGTCACATCAGGGAGAGAACTTTCGTTTTTTATTTTCTCCAGTGAGTTTCTGTAATTGGGTGCTTGACATTTAGCCCTAAGTGATGCATCCACCACATTCACAGTTTGCTAGGTTTGTCCTGTATCCTCAGATTTTACATGTAAATTTGTTCTTAGTGATGTTACCTGTTTCATGGCAACGTCATGTTCATCAAAAGATGAAGATTAGTCGATATTTAAAACTGCTGCTCTAATATGCTTATAAATTTTGCTTTTTAAAATATTATAAATTGATACTAATATTTTTTTAATAATTTCGTACATCAGGCAAAAAGACGTTCATAATTTTTGTCCGTGTGGTTAGGCTTATTGACAGTCGAGTGCTGATGAATTCATCGTCAGTTCTCAACATCATCATAAGCTAAATTGATTGTGGCTGCCCTATAGTCAAAGTCTCTCTATTATGAGTGGAAGCGACAGGGAAGCCTATATTATGTTTTTTCTATAAATCTATCTGAAAAAGTTTCTTGTCTGTGGCAAACGAGTTGTGTATAAGTGGGCTACCCTGTCTTTGGATGTTTGTCTTTGACCTTGCCAGAGGCTTGTTTTAATCTCCGTCTTCTACCTTCAAAACCAATGATCCCCTAGTGTTTATTTTATAATTCCTTATAGTCCTTGTACAAAATATTCAACTTTTATCATTGCAGTTTTTGCTTGTCCAAAAATGGACTAATATATATGACCTTGTCGGTTTGTGTGATTGCAGGGGTTTGATGAATATATGAATCTGGTCCTTGATGATGCTGATGAATTCAATATCAAGAAAAACACTAGGAAGCCCCTGGGTGGGTAAAACATATTTACCTTGTTTAGTGTTATACCTCTCTCTCTCTCTCTCTCTCTCTCTCTCTCTCTCTCTCTCTCTCTACTTACGTTACGTTCGTTACGTTACGTTACGTTTACGTTTACGTTTACGTTTACGTTTACGTTTACGTTTACGTTACGTTAACGTTACGTTACGT